TCTCCAGCGCAATTTTGCATATAATTAAATTTGTCCAATATAATTATTATTCATTTGCTTTTCAAATGTGTTCTGGTTTCATTAAACATCTGGACTTCCCCAATACATTGAAAGCTATCCCAGGGAAAGGCTTTCCACTATGTATGCCTTGTACAAACCAAAGAAGCTGGTGTAATCAGCATACCTGGTAAATATCCAATAATACACCCTGATGTAATCTCTCTGACCTCAGGGCCCACTGCTTCCTCTTGGGTACTATACTCCAGTTCCAGTGACCTCATTGCTATTCTTCCATCAGCTAAGCATGCTCCTGCATTGTGATCTTTCCACAGACGCTTCTTTCTCCAAATGGCTAACTCACTCAGCTTCTTCGAGTCTTTGCTAAGATGTCTTCTTCCCTTCCCAAGGAGGCTTACACCCTGACCACCCTATTTAATACTGTCATCTGCCTGCCCACAGGGCATTCTCAATTCCCCATATATATCCTGCTCTATTTTTTCCATAACACTTAACACATTCAAATATACTACATAATTTATTTATTTATTATGTTTGTCTGATTCTTGCCCCACTAGAATGTAAGCTCCACAAGGACAGGGATGTTTGTGTTTTGTTCACTGATGTATCTTAAGCCACTAGAAGAGTGCATTAAACTCAAATGTATGTTTAAGGTAAGAACAACAATTAACATATTTTACAATTTGGTATCTACTATTTAATCTATGGCATATCTACCAAGTGAAGGTTAACACAATAAGGACAAGACAATTTTCCCTAACAAAATACATAAGCCCTAGTCTCACATGACAGAGACCTTAAGTCTAATGAGAGACTAGTCTGTGCTCTGTAACAAGACGTACCCAATTTTGGCTGGCATGTAGAGCATCAAAGGCACCACTGGAGAATCTTCATTTCCATAGATGATGAAGCCCATCTCTTTCAGGCGTCTCCTGAAATATCTGGTATTTTCAGCTAACTGCTGCACACATTCTTTGCCTGGAAAATCATGGGGAGAGAAAACGAAATAATGCTAATGAAAAAGGAATGGAAAAAATACAGCAATCTCCTCTATCTCCATTCTGTCTAATCAGTCCTATGTTTCATTTCTTCCATTTCAACATATTTTTGCACAGTAAATTGTATGGTATATAAATATAAATAAAGACATCTCACTTTATATTCTGTCATTCTAGCTGTTAATAGATTTCATAGTAATATAAAAAATAAATTTAATAACTAATACTTCAGTGGCACATTAGCATCTTCAAAGGATTTCAGCCATACCACCTCATTGAGCACTCCACATATACCTTGACAGTAGGTAGGATATTTATTATTATCTTCATTTTATAGGATAGGAGAGTCTCACAAAGGTGGTGACTTGCCTACAGTCACATAGTATTAAATGGCAGAGCTGAGACTAGAATCTAGGTCTCCCAACTTCATTCATTCCAACAAACTGTGCTGCAAATAATTTTACATATAAGTCCAGAGATA